TGTTTATAGATGCAATGTGCAACTTAATTATCGGTGTGGGGTGTAATTCCATTTTCAATTACAAAAATAAGTCCCTTTTGCGAAGGTACTACTTTTTTTCCAAAGGTACCATATTTTTGAACTAAAGGTACTACTTTTTAGCGTCCAGGTACCATGTTTTCTAAACACTCGCTTAGCTAGCTTGGAGAATATTTTGTATTATTCATGGCCCTAATGGAACTGTTTATAGATATAATGTGCAACCTAATTAGCGCTGTGGGGTTTAATACCATTTTCAATTGCAAAAATAAGTCCCTGTTTTTGGCATCCAGGTACTATGTTTTTTAAACACTCGCTTAGCTAGCTTGGAGAATATTTTGTCTTATTCATGGCCATAATGGAGCTGTTTATTGATCTAATGTGCTCCTTAATTAGCGATGTGGGGGTGGAATACCATTTTCAATTGCAAAAATAGGTCCCTTTTGTGAATGTATCACTTTTTTTCCAAAGGTACCACGTTTTTGAGCTAAAGGTACCACTTTTTGGTGTCTAGGTACCATATTTTCTAAACACTCGCTTAGCTAGCTTGGAGAATATTTTTTGTCATTCATGGCCCTAATGGAGCTGTTTATAGATGTAATGTGCAACCTAATATTTTGACTATGGCATAGTTACAAAACTACCATTATGAAGTGTTTATTGAAAGAGTGTGGTATCTCTATAACAATTATGTTTATTGAGAGAGTGTGGTATCTCTTTGACAACTATTGAGATTAAATTATCCATCTATTCGACACCATAGAACCAAGGAAACAACAGGCCAATTTTCCATTCACTCAACTACTTCACTTTTGGAATGAAATTTTTTGTATAGTACATTCATGTAATAGTCAAAGAAAATTCAGTGAGACCCTAGTATAATAAGCCATACAATACTAATTCATGAAAACCCAAAAGAGCAACTTCATTTGATTCTATCGAAGGTAGATGCTAGTATAATAACCCATACAATGGTTACAAAAACATACCAACCTAATCCACAATAAAAAGTTGCAAAACTACTCTTCTTTAAAACTTAAAAAATAGCTAACAGCAACAGATTGCAAAATACCAGCAAAAAAAATGAACACGAACAGTCGTCATTTCAAGCACTTTTTGGATTCTAAGATCCTCCTATCCTACTTCCTCTAGCTCCTAATTGGGTAAATACAGGTATGTATTTGTGGCTCTTTTCCTTTGTGTGGTCCTAGTGAGAGTCCTCTTGTTTGTGTATTTGATGGACATGCATTCTTTCTGTCTCTGTGTGTAGTTGGAACAAAAGAACCACTTTGTCTCTGTGACTATCACATGTAATAAAAATTAAGGTATTAAGGCATTGTATAATAATAATAAGGAACAAAAGCGATATAAAAACAGACAATTCGAAAATTTGAATAATAATAATTTTAAAAATAATCATCAAAATTAAAGAAGAATTTATAAATTGCCCAACACCTTGCAGGTGACCTCATTATCCAACTTAGCAATACTGTTATTTAAAACATGTTTGAACAATTACATAATACTTTTGAGTTTACTTCTTCCTTTGTGATTCATTCTTGTAATAGTCATTTTAGTGATGAAAAAAATTGAAAAACAATGTATAATTAACTTGACAATGGTCATGCAGTCTTTTTTGGAGTTTAATATCGGATTTACCAATACAATTTGCCTATAAGTGATATTAGGAAAGATATATACAAATGGATATAGGTTAATACTTAATACTAAAAATATGAATTCTAATTAAGTGGTATTAAAAGAATAGAGGAGTGGTTTGTGGATCCCTGCAATATTTGATGGAACTAAATTGGAAGATGTTACAAATGTTCCATTGCCCAGGATGACTTGTGATTTGTTGTGCCTAATTCTGACTTCTAATATATTATGAGGTTTAATGGTTCAGAAAATTGAATAGAAATAGGACTCTCTTTTTTTTTTGGTAAGGTCCGTGATGTGAGAATCTGCTAGGGAAATTGCTTAGGGTGGTAAATTTTGATGGTTTTCAGTTTTTGCCTTTATTGGGAGGGGGTCTAATTCAACAATTAGCTTATGCTTTTTTTTTTCCTTTTTTTTTTTTATTTTTTATTTTTTTAGAAAAAGAAAAGAAGCAGCAATATTTATTTTCTTATACTTTCTTTTTCCTTTTTGTATGGATTTATTCTAGGGTACTCTAAGAACGACATCATTGCTCTGGTGTTGGTTTGCATTCAAGGGACAAATGGGCAGGTAAGGCATCAAGAATTTGTGTTAACTGACATATATTTCCACTAACTTCGATGTATTTCAATCCACCAAATAGCATTGATTCTTATTCTAGCTCGTTTTATGCACTCTGGTCACTTTAGTTTAACTTTTGCCGTGAATTGCCTTTATTATTATTATTATTATTATTATTATTTTATATGTTTTAAAATTAGAGTAGCTTCTTCAATTTGTGGTTATGATTGGTCTTACCATCCAATGCCAAGTGTTTAATTTTAATTTTTCTGAATGAATCAAGTTGCTTCCAAATGTCGCTTATCTTGGCCTATTGGATATTGGGACTGTCTCATTAACTGGGCAATGATTACTCTTGAAGGAAATACTGTGGTTGTACTTTAAACAAGGTAGTTTTGGCTGCTGCAGTAAACACTGGGTGGAGGGAAAGGAACACTATATTATTTAAAAATGACTTCAGGTAGTTTTCTACTCTCCAAAGAGAAATTACTGAGGTTGTCAGACTGAAATTTTATTCTCTTAATGGGTTTGTTGATAATCCAGAAAATCAGTGGATTATTAGAGAATGGAATTTACCTGAATCAGTCTTAAGTAAGAAGCTAAAGTAACGTGGTGGTTATGCTAGGTTCTGCACCTGTGTCTCAATTGGTATTTGTTTTGGTTCCTTGATACTCAGAACAGGATAGGTACTGCAGATTTGCATGAGATTAGTTTGCCAGTCTTGCTCTGGACCATTTGCTGTACTCTTGTTGTCATTTTAAGTTGTCGTCCTTTTATAACTCTGTTTTTGGGTGCTTTAAGCTGGATTGGAGCAAATTCATTTTCTTCAAGGAAAGGGCTGCAATAGTTGGTGTTGTGCCGACACAGAGCTTTGACCTATTACACTGTTTCTGGTTTTGCTTTGAGGTTTACAGGTTTTGATATTAGGTTTTTGGTGAGAGTTTCTTTTTGTTGGTGGTGGATTAGTTTTCTCTGCCTTTTGAGTATTGTCCTTGTTGGTTGTAGGTTTGATTGTGTTTTTGTGTTGTTTTGTTGGTGGGGAGGTATGCTTCCTTGAATGTTGTACTGACAGTTTGTGATTTTGGAATAAAAATCATTCTTACTTCTTCTTCCAAAAAAAAAAAAGAAAAGCGGAATCAATCTGTGATCCTTTCAATTATTATTATTTTTAACTGGAAAAGTTTTATTTTTCTTTTGTCATTATGGATTGGTGGCATTGGAGCTTTTTTGATGCTGTGGGATGCCCCTTGAATACTTATTTAAATTTGTTAATGAAAGTCTGATTACCTAAAAAAGTTTCTATAATTATTCAGTCTTTGTTAGGCAAAAAGTGTTGGTGTGCACTTGTTAATCTCTTCAAAGAACTTTTGAACCAAGCATTGCTCAAAGATAACACGAACTTCTTAAATCATCTATTCTGAATGTCTTTATGCCCTAATAATTCTGTTAGCTGCCAGATTTATTCACTAATTATGAGTTTTATTTTGACTTTCTTCGATTTTTATTTTGAGATTGTGTATTTGATTTTGAGTTTGGTTGCAACAGCACAAAGACGACTGACAACAACCCATTTGGTTCCAGGCCCTCCATAATTTAGCGGATTCACATGTAAAAGGGTATATGGTATTGCGATTTCCAAGATTTTTCATAACAATTTACGAGTCTTTATATTCAATAAAGGACAAATGCATAATTATGCCAATGCATCTTACAACTAGATTTTGTAGAAAGAAATTAGTACAGAATTTATATCAAGTGTACACCAAGTTTACGCAGCAATATAATTTTATATTCATCCATCAAGTCAGCAACAAAAAAGGGCACACAAAGGATGAACTCAAACTAACAAATCCTAACCCGAAAAGTAATAATAATAAATAAAATCAAAAGTTAATTTTTTTTGTTAAATCGTGTCTACTTATGCATGTGTGTGAACTTAAAGAATAATCCCTTCCGAGGGGGGGGGGGGGAAACCTTAAAGAATAATAACAATAATGATAATGGGACTAAGTGGGATCCTGTCTTTGTTATGGAGAGGGCTATTTTCTATTTTAATGAATTTGTAGAGGCTGCACAAGCTGCCCAAGTTGATAATTGCAACTCTTCAAATGTCGTTGCTCTAAATCAAATTCAAAATCAAATTCACAATCTCAAAAGAAAAATCAAAACCAAACTCCTGCTAAGGATGACAACCCCATGATTTTGTTAAGCAACAAAAGGAACAAGATGAACAGAAAGAATTCAAGAATGAAAAGGTGACTTCGTCCTGGTAGAACTGAACAACTGGTCGCTGGCCTTCGTCACTCCCCTCTGGTCGCTGCTCACTGATCGCCGGTTGCTGCTCGCTATTCGCTGCACATCGTGTTCTTCGTCACACGAAAGGCACGGAAATGGTTAGGGGTTTGTTGATCGCTGTTTACAGAGAAGGGGGGAGAGAGAGGGCAGCACGAATGGAATATGAAAAAGGCATTTGGGCTTGAAATTAGATAAGTGTAGAAAAGGGCATTTTAGGCAACACATAAAATAGGAAGAAGGGTATTTTAGGCAACAGAAATATGAAACAGTATTTTTTCATGTGCCACCTCAGCTTTTGGGTCAAACTCATTTTAGAAAAACTATGAGATTTTGACTCAGCGTCTTAGTAAATATGGTGCCCTAGCCCCATTTATATGTAATAATTCCTAATGATTGATAATAAGATTCTAGCTTGAGACCATTTTTTTTTTTTTTTGACACTAGCTTGAGACCTGAGAGTTGAACGTTTTACACGCACATATATATATTTATATATCTATATTTAATCCTAGTCATTTATTTTCATCCATCGGTTGACAATTTTATACACTATTGAAGATTCTCATTGTAACCCTCGACGTTACCGTCCTACGCCGATCATCGACACCGGTCATCTTTATCTCCACTGATCATATTCACCATCTAGCAGATTTGCTGTCTTCTCCGACTTTCACTCCTCCTCCGATTTCGATTGCCCAATATTATCAATACAAGGTCAGTCACTCCTCAACTCCTTAAACTGAAAAAATAATTATAAACAACAGCTACAAACAATTAAATTAACACCAATCGCACACCTCACTCATTCAACAACCACCAGGACGTTGTATCATGTATTATACTACCATCAATATTTTTCATTATTACTGGCTATTTTTGTTTCACGTTGCAAAACAAAGTTTAATTCTGAGAATTTAAGTTTTACAAATCAAATAAGCTAGATACATTCATAATTCTAGCTATTAATGAAGTAGAATTTGGTGAATAGAAATGAATAGGTCTCTTTCTATTATCAAAATTTTATAAAATATGTAATTCAATGTATTAACATTCGTTTTTAATTATATTTTTTATTTTTAGTTGTTTTACTTATTCATTTTGCTCCATTGTGCTGGTGTTGATCACTCATGGCTATATTAGACAAGAGTTTGGTGATTCTCACTAGTGAAACCCATTATCTTTATCTCTAAAGAATACTTGGAATAGTATACAATGTATAGTATTGTTTCTTTACCAATGCAGTGTGAGAGATACAGAGCGCCTTGGTCTATTTGTAGACGATGCGAGTTAGATGAAGGGAAATGACATCATGAGAAAAATAGACAATGAGAGGCACCATCTGCCAAACAGAGCACAACTATGAACCTGCACAACGCGCCCAATCCGAGCATTGTTGAGCTTGGGCTAGGCCACCCCAACCGAACATCAGGTTCAACCCGGGCTTGGGCTGCACCATGCCAATAGTGCGGGTTGAGCTTGGGTAGACCCCTCAATCCCTCGCCCGCCCAAGTTGCACCCTGCTCTCTGGCAGCAGCAACTTCGAAGATATGCCATTTTAAGCTAGTAAAAACAAAGTAAGTTGCCATCAATATAATATGGGTGCTTAATCCCACAGTAGGAAGTGCCAAAAAAACTCACGTCATTTAATATTAAGCTAGAATTTTTTTATGAAACAGTGAAAGATCTGTTATGATTAGATTAAAATATAAAAAATAAAATAAGAACAGAAATAAAAAGAAGGCATCAAATTTTTAAAAGAAAATGACAAAGAACATGATGCATTCATTTTTTTGATAAGTAATAATTAAAATAAAAAAGGCGTTCAAGAGGGGAACGCATCCCTTATACAAAAGTGGAACTAGGGGTTAAGATCCCAAAGAAACCAAAAAAATAATAAAATCTTCGGAAGAAGAACATGACTTCCTCTTCACATAACTGAAAAGAGAGCCTATAATGTGAAGTTTCAGACTCGCCATGGACGATTCTTTCCCTTCGAACATTCTACTATTCCTCTTCTTCCAAATGAACCACCAAACATAATGTGGTACAATTCTCCAATAATCGCGAACAACACTACTCACACGGCATCCTCTCCATATACAAATCAAATCCTTAGGATAACGAGGCATAACCTAATGCATATCAAACAGACAAAAGATAAGATTCCAACAATTCCTCGCTATAGGACAATGTATTAGAATGTGAGCAACTGACTCACCATCTTGTTTGCACAAACAACACCAATTAACAAGACAATTGCCCCTTTTCCTTAGATTATCAATCGTAAGGATCTTACCCCAAACAGCGGTCCATACAAAGAATGCCACTCTAGTTGGAGCCATAGAACGCCAAATAGTCTTCCATGGAAAATCAACAATATCGAAATCAGAAAGACATAAGAATAAGGAACGAATTTCAAAGTGACTATGGGAAGAGGGAATCCATGTCATAACATCAATACCTCTGCCAACTGCCTCCTATCAATACAACAAATCCATGAAAACACATACCTCATCCGCCTCCCAATCTTGAAAAGAGCGTCAAAATTGCACGTTCCACGTAATCCCTCTACTATCAAGTTGATAACAGTTGACTACGTAGGTAAGTCTATCAACTGCAATACTGTATAACCTGAGAAATAAAAGAGATAAAGGTTGGTCTCCACACCAAAGATCCTCCCAAAAGTGTACACATCTGCCATCACGAACTTTGAATCTAATATGAGTAGAAAAGCATCCCATCCCTTCCTTATGAATTTCCACGCCCCAACTCCTCCCACTAGAGAAACCAGATGAGTAGACCAACCACCACTTTCTTCCCCATATTGACATGAAACTAGCTGTCGCCATGGGCAATGCCTTTCCCTTTCATACTTCCACAGCCATTTACCCAGAAAAGCTTAGTTAAAAGGGACCAGTCTTCTGATACCAAGACCACCAAACTTCATTGGCTTGCAAACTTGTTCCCAATTGACAAGGTGATACTTAAATTCATCACTTCTTCCACCCTAAAGGAAATCCCTTTGAATTTTTTCGATCCTATCAGCAACAGAGCATGGAATTTGGAACATAGATAAAAAATTAGTAGGAAGGCTCGATAAAGTGCTCTTTATAAGCGTAACTTTCCCTCCCTTAGACAAGTATTACTTTTTCCATCCCGCTAATCTCTTCGCATACCTATCAATCACAGGGTCTCAACATCCCACTGTTCTAGTGGAAACCCCTAAAGGCAAGCCCAAATACTAAATTGGAAAAGAACTCACCCACACCCAAGGACTTCTGCTAAAGAAGAAATATCCTAAACATCTCCAACCGGCACAAGCACACTTTTAGCCACATTAACTTTCAGACCAGAGACAGCCTGAAAGCAAGCCAAAATGCACCTCAAATATCTAAGTTGAGACACATTAACATCACAAAAAACCAGGGTGTCGTTTGCAAAAAGTAAATGAAAGACCTCCATCTGATGAACAGGATCTCTTCCGACCATAAAGCCCTTGATAAGATCAAGATCCTCTACTCTTTGCATAAGTCTGCTTAAGCCCTCCATAAAAATAAGAAAGAGGAAGGATGACAGGGGATCTCCTTGTCTTACACCTCGAGAGCACCCAAAGAAACCAATAGGAGACCCGTTCACAAGAACAGAGAATTTGACTGACGAAAGGTATGTCTCAATCCATTTCCTCCATTTACTTCCAAACCAAAGAACATGATGCATTCATAAGACAGCTATTAAGTATATGGACAATGACAGCTTCGATGGTGCTTGGGTTGATTGCAGATTCTCACAAAGTGAACACCATCCATTTTCAACTTGCAATAAGTCAACAACATTGATCAACTATTCTAGTTTTTCATCAGAAATGGAAGAGACCACCAACACTACTTCAACAGCACAAAGGTATTATGACTCTTATTTTTTGCAATATGTAAATACAAAATTTTCATACACAATATATATATATATATATATATATATATGCACAATCTTCAGTGAATGACTGTTAATCTAGGTGTGCTGTGGTTACCGGGGCCAACAAAGGAATTGGACTAAAGATATGTCGTCAGCTAGCATCTAATGGAATTGCAGTAATATTAACAGCCAGAGATGAGAAGAAGGGTATTGAAGCTGTTGACAACCTTAAAGTTTCTGGATTCTCAGATGTGTTTTTTCATCAACTTGACGTAAAAGATCCTGCCAGTTTTGCTTCATTGGCAAAATATGTACATAACGCATTTAAAAAAACTTGATATCCTGGTGAGAAACAAGATATTCCTTACGAATTAAGTGACTTGACTTTTGCTATTAATATACATACACAATGGTTAGCAAGATGTATTCAATTTGATAACATATAAAGAAATAGAAAAGTGTTGAATAACAGTACTTTCTGACGTGTTAAGGAATACCAGGTTATAAGATTAATCTCTAATGAGTGCAGGTCAATAATGCAGGAATTGTTGGACTTACTACATATCATGAAGCATATAAAGCCTACAGACAACGAGGGGGGTTTGTAAGTATTACAAATAGTTTCCCTGTTAGCGTTTTTTATCAAATAATTTATGTGTTATCGTGGACATAGAATGGATATTTAACACTTGGGTTGTTGCTAGGAAGCAGTAAATCCAAGAAATGTTTTAAATGAACTCCCACTGCATTAGTCTTTACATTATAGAACAATATGATCAATGTTTGGTTACTTACAAAGTCATGAATATATATCAACCAAGAAAATTCCAAAAAGATACAGACGCCAAATTTCCAGGAATAGCCAATGCCCACCTTGTTCGGTCTTTTAAAATGCTAAACTTTAATTCTGCTGCTTTGGTGCTAGGAGGGAAAGTGTAACTTTTTGACACAAGTTATAGAGTGTAACTCACAAACTTCCACACTAGGAAATTATGCATGGCATGACTTGTAACAGATTCCAACCAACCACAATAAAACAATACTACCTTCATTAAAATGACTCAATCCAAAATTGGTGTTACATAAACAAAACATAAAGGTCCTCAATCGAAACCATAAGAAACCACATGTTATTACATATAGGAAACTATGTGTGAAATGTTCTCTCCACTTTAGTTAAAGAACCATGTCTATTTAATAAAAACCTAGATAGCAACACAGAGAAATATACTTGCCTCATTAGCTCAAACTTCTTTTTCCTCCTGAAACACTCTCAATCTACACAAATATAATTGCTCACAGTTGATGAACACTCTATTCAAATAGGAAACAGATCAGGAAATCCTTAATTGACGTGTAGATGGGATTTATAGTGAACTAGCAGAAGAAAATTAGGTTACTTGATGGTAACAGAACCCCACTTCAAATGTTATATTCTATTTCCAACATCTTATCCTCTAATTTAACTCTTAAGTAGAGACAAGAATTCAAACCAAATTTGAAAATTGGTGTAATGATCCTCATTTTTACAATTTTCCATTTTCTGGGATTTTTTTCAATTTTTGGGTTTATTTCCATTTTATCTCATTTTGCGTGCCAGGTAACATGGGGTGTGCCGGATGGGTCCTGAGAGTTAGTTGGGGCGTGTCCTTGAGTTCATGACTCTTGGAAATACATTAGTTGTCATTTCGACATTTTTTTCGTTTTTCGAACCGGGAGGTTCCAAGTGGAACCCGCTACCAGAGTGTTGAGAACGGAGATTATTTTTCGGAATCATTGCATTTCATGCATTATTATTTTGATGCTCATTTACTTGGTTGTATGATTAATCATGTGGTTGTGATGTGTAAAGTGTATGTATGTATATAAAGAAAAAATGAAGATTTTTATTTATTTATTATGGGACCCACCAATGACTTTTGGTCATTATAATGACCAAATGGTCACTACAGACCATTCATTTCTTCTTTTCTTCTTATGGCAGTTCTCTCCTTCTCCATCTTTTTTTTTTTTTTTTTTTTTTTTTTTTTTTTTTTTATTTCTACTTCACACAAAAGCTTGGATCCACTCTCCACCTTTGGGATTTTGATCTTACTACTTAAGGCAAAGTTGATGAGTGTGTCGAGACCTTCATTTTGATCGGAGCAAAGTGTTGTTTGGCCACCATTTGGGATTTCAAATTTTGGGTTCAAATTGGGGTTTTTCATCTTTATTGAGGTATGAGTGCTCTAATTCATGTATTCTTTGACCTTATTTAATTTTCCCTCCTTAATTTGATACTAGTATATTTAATTTGTGTTAAGCCCTTGAGAGATGTGATATACATGTTATGTATATATAATTCTATTGTGCAAAATAAGCATACTTGTGTGCTAATTGCTATATTGTGATGATGTGTATTTAGATGATGAATTTATATACTTTCCATGTTGGGTATGTTGGATTTGTTGTATGAGAGCATGCTGATTTTTTTTTTTAATTTAATTTAATTTAATTTAATTTTTATAAATTTTATAGAATTCCTCTAAAAGCATGGTATATTATTGTAGTTGATTACTTATGATGGAAGGTTATAAATTGTCATGGTTTGTATGGCATGAAGCATTCATGCATTTCATTGGGAATGAAAGGGAATAATTGTTTTATAAGCAAATGAAATTAATTTTGGGAAAAATTGTTTTGAAAAGTGTTTGCGAAAAACCCAGATGCTTAGGAGTCGCCTAGTGGTCCGTGGCGTTAGTGTGGTCTAGAGAGGTTAGGGAGAGACCCTAGCGAGGTTGAGCTACCTAGGCCCGCGACGCCTTGGAGTTGCCATATGGTCGTGGATAGCTAGACAATCCTTGTCTCGTGACGCCATGGAGTTGCCATGGGTCAGACTCCACTAACAGTTTGAAAAGGTGAAACGGAATTGTTTCGGAAACGGGGAGCGACATTGGCATGTCATTGTATTACATTGGCATGCATTGTATACATATGGTTGGATGACTTGTTTTATAGTTGTTGATGATATTGTTGTCGTTGTTGTGTTTTTTTCCCCCGATTGACATGATCCCGTTTACTTTTACCCTATGCTTTGTCTGGATTCACGGGGTCATTAAGAGGTGTGTCTTAGACACTTCCTATTGAGCGGCTGTGTAACGACCCAAATCCACTGGGTCTGGATCGTTAAACGGATCTTTATTCAACCTAAAATCATCTAAGGGTAATATGGTCATTTCACGTTAAATTTGTATATTAAGACCCAACAAGGACAAAATGGTCATTTGCCACAAGTCTAATAGTATGGGATTCAAAGGGCATAATGGTCACTTACTTATGTCACTTAATAAATATGATAGAGTTCGGGGCAATATAGTCTTTTCTGTGATAAAAAAATAATTATTGAATTTTATTGGGTCCTAAAATAAATACTCGTAACTTTGAATAAAAGGATAATTAGGGAAACTAAACAAAAAAATGTATGGAACAGGAACCGGTCGACGTGTATGCATTACACGTCAACTGGTTTGGGTCACGCACAGTGACATTACCCACTGCCAAGATACCGGTCGACGTGTGGGAGGTTACACGTCGACTGGTTCAGGTCATGTACAGTGAAATGGCTACTGCCAAGATACTGGTCGACGTGTGGGAGGCTACACGTCGACTGGTTCAGGTCATCCGGTCGACGTGTGGGAATTTTACGTCGATCAGTTCTGGGTTATCCAAACTCGAAATTTTTAACTGTCCCAGATACACCAACATTGATAATCAATCACCCTACACACCATACCCACGTACATATTTGAATACATTTTAACATCTAATACATTAACAACAACAACAATATTAACATAATTTACAACACGTTACATGAAATACACTAAAAGATTTAGTGTAAATAAGCATAATTACAATTCTCCAATGGCCATATACAAAATGAAACTAAATACTTCACAAGCTGCAAAATGATACATTTTGGGTCAACACTTTACAAAATGGGGCCAAATACAAAAGGTAGCAAAAGATACATTCTTCTAATCCAAACTAAGACTGTGGTGGACTGTCACCCGCCACTTCTTTTCCCGAACCTGAAAATGTTAAAAAAATATGGGGTGAGCTAAACGCTCAGTAGGAAGTGTCTAAGACACACTTCTTGTGACCCCGTGAATCCACGTAAGGAATAGGTAAAAGAAAACGGGATCATTGTGTAGGGGTACATGGCAATAACTACAACGACAAGTAAATAACAATTGTCACCCAAACACATACACACCATATATTCTAATGAAGTGCAATGTCATGCAATGTCACTCCCCATATCCGAAACATTTCTGTTTCAACTTTCAAACCGTTAGTGTAATCCGACCCAAGGCACCTCCAAGGCGTCACGAAAGGAGGATTGCCTAACCATCCACGACCACAAGGCACCTCCAAGGCGTCGCATCCGGCTTGGTTAGCTCAACTAAACTCTCCTTTAGACTACACTAACACCACGGACCACTAGACGCCTCCTAGGCGTCCAGGTTTTCGCAAACATTTTTAGAAAACCTTTCCCAAAACAATTTTCACTTGTTTTAAAGACATTTTTTTCCCTTTTTCTATCCCAATGAATGCATGGAATGTTTCATACTTAAATTCATCAATTTAACCATAAAACTCTCACACATGCTATGTAAAGCAAATTTCTAAACTACATAACTAAAAATTCTTATTTAGCATCAACTTTTCATAACAAGCATATAAAACATAGATTTAACTTCATGTAAGCATGTTTCAATACTATAAAACAACTAACAATTAGTCACATATAATCCATACCTATCATTTAAGCAAATTTTATAAGAATTTATACTAATTGAACATGCTAGACTTCAATTCAAGTTATAAAATTCACAAAAGTAAAAGAAATCATGCATTAGAACACCCCTACCTCAATGGAGATGAAAACCCCCAAAACTCTAAATCAAAGCCCTAATTTTCAAAATTCCTAGGATGCACCAAAGTTGTAATTGCTTACATCAAAGATCTCACCGAGCTCTTCGATTTGCCGCAAACGGCACCCAAAATTTCCAAGAATTGAGGAAGTAATCAAATTTTGAAGTTCAAAATCAAAAGAAAGATAAAAGGAAAAGAAAAGGGAGAGGAAGAGAGGGGTTACGGGGAGAGAGAAAGTGAGAGACCAAAATGGTCTCTAAGCCTTACATAAGTGTTAGTGGTTGGTCCTACCACTAATGAAAAACCCTTTTTCATTTAATTTTCTACCACAACTTATACATATATGCACACAACCATACAAATACCATATAAAACACCTTAAATAAAATGCACAAGATGCAAATGGGCTCAATTAAAATCCCTATATGCAACAACCCCGGTAGCGGGTCCTACCCGAGACCATCCGGCCTGAAAAACAAAAAAAAAAAAAAATGCCGAAATGGCAACCGATGCATTTCCAAGAGTTCGGAACTCAAGGAAATGTCTCACCCAACTCTCGG